GAGGAGCCGAACTTAATTATTCGGTTATTGAAAAGGAGTTATACGCAATTGTCTTTGCTGTAAAGCATTTTCGGCCCTATTTATATGGAACAAAATTCCAACTTGTGACAGATCACAGACCTTTAGTATGGGCTCATAAAATTAAAGATCCGGCATCGCGGCTGCTTCGTTGGGTATTATTATTGCGAGAGTACCAATATGAAGTAATCTACAAGCCAGGACGACTGAATTGCAATGCTGATGCACTCTCACGAAATCCTGTGGACTTGTCAGATTTATCGATAGCGAATATTAAGTTAACTGAGAGTTTAATTGTTGAAAAAGAATCAGTTCACTTCCAGACGATTTCCTCAATGAATAGGAATGTAGTGACAGATTATCAGAGTAAAAATAGAGAGATTCAAAATTCAAAAAACCTCATCGAGAGTGATGAGTGGCTCATCGAGTGTGATGAGCAGTTCATTGAGCGTGATGAACAGTTTGCTAGTGAAAGGGAAGAAACTCAGACTCAGGGTTATGGGGACCCTGTAGAACAGGAAGATGTTGGTCGAACGGACACAGTACTGTCTGCGGGTGATACCACTGACCTAGAGGAGTGCTCACCCTTTCCTAGTGAATCAATGAGTTGTGAGAATGAGATGAAGGTGGTAGTTTTTCCGGGCCCGGAGGCATGGAGCGGAGGCATGCCCAGTGATGAGAGTTATGACTGTAAGACGTGCACGCATGACCCAAATGAATTAAGACAGATAATAGAAAAACAGAGAGATATACTAACACTCGAGTTATCCAATGGAAGTCGAATAAATCAGAGTTTATCTAAAAATTTAGTAAGAAGTAGTAAAAATAGTCCCAACGAAGATAGTCGTGTTTGTGAGGAATGCCCAGTATTACATATGGAAAATACCAGACGTATTTTTAATTCTGATTCAGAAGAAATACCCCCTTCTATTCAAGTCCTAGATGAAGAATTTCTCGACGACATCAGTGATTATGATGATCAAGTTAGTTCTTCAGATGAAGAAGAAACTAATACGCCTGAAATAACTAAAGTAGTTAAACACGGAAAAAGAGTGAAGAAACGCATTCCGTTTGTTGTTTTCAGCGAAACTAGAGATGGAGTTTTCATGAAGAAAGATAACATTGGAACTTTCATTTCTGCTGATTTTAAAATGAGAACCCCAATTTTTCAAGAGCTTCTAGCTAGAAGTTTTATTAATGAAAATCAATTCCCCAAAGAGAAACCAGAAATTGGCGATGTAGTAGTCTTCAAACATGGAAATTTCCATGTTTTTCTCGTCATCATTAAAGAGTCAGTCGAAGATAAAACAATTTTGAGCAATATAAATCTCGGTATTTCCAAATTGAAAGAAACAATGGATTATTTCGACGTGAGAACTATAAGGATCGCGACAACTGGAGGCGGGCTTGATAAACTGCCCTGGGGTAATGTGAAAATGTATTTAGAAAGGACTTTTCCCCAAGGTTATCATGTAACGATTTGCCTTAATCAAACGGAAATCCCTGAGATCGATAAACGTGAGAGGATTATAAAAGAAATGCATGAATCTGCAGTAGGTGGACACAAGGGTGTTGTGAAAACTTATGACAGAATTCGTCGATTATATTTCTGGGAAAATATGAAATCACAAATCCAAAACTTTATCAAACATTGTGTCACCTGTCAGAGGAATAAATTGGTTAGAGTGAAAACTAGACAACCAATGATCGTGACAGATACCCCACAAACAGCATTCGAGAAAATTGCACTTGATATTGTAGGACCATTACCCATTACTAGCACAGGCAACAGATATATTTTGACTATTCAAGATAATTTAACTAAATATTCACTAGCAGTTCCATTAGCGGAAACAAAAGCAATTGACATAGCAAAAGCATTCACTGAAAATTTTATTTGTGTTTTTGGTTGTCCTGAGGCAATTTTAACCGATCAAGGATCTAATTTCATTGGTGAAGTCATGAAACACTTAGCAAAACTATTCAAAATTCAACAGTTAAAAACTACAGCTTTCCATCCTCAAACAAACGGGTCCCTCGAGAGAAGTCACTTGGTTTTAGTTGAATATCTGAAGAATTTTATTAACTCTGACAGAGACTGGGACACTTGGATAAAGTACGCGATGTTTTCTTATAATACATCAGTTCATGAGTCAACAGGGTTTACCCCTCATGAATTAATTTTCGGTAGATTAGCACGCATCCCCTCTAGCTTTGTAAGAGAAAGTAGTGTACCTGTATATACAGATTATCTAGGCGATTTAGTTGATAAATTACGTAAAACACAATTAAGCGCAGCAGATCATGTTGATTTAGCAAAATTTAGATCTAAATTATATTATGACAGGGCTGTGAACCAGAGACATTTCCAGCCAGGTGATTGGGTATTTTTAATTAATGATGCTAAAACAAGTAAATTAGATGCTAATTATTTAGGACCTTATGAGATACAAAAGGTGACGAATAACGAAAATGCAGTGATAAAACTGACGGACTATCGAACAAAAACTGTTCACATAAACAAGTTGAAACCAGCATTTTTACCGAAGAAATAATCAATTAAGGTCTAGAATTATAAAGATGTAAATAATTATATACGTTCCTTCTTGAGGAAGTAAACTATAAGATTATAGCCTACTATAAATAGATCAATAAGTCTGTTCAAAAATTAGACNGTCTGAAGTTGAAGTATTTTGAATAAAAGTGTTTGTGTGCTCTCTTAAGCACTTGTGTTGAATTTATTTCACAATTCAACCCTTCCAACCAAATATTCTGGGATTAAACAATTGGACTTCGATGGAGTGCTCATCAGAGCTTTGGCGGCAAACGAATCTACAGTCAAAAATTGGCGCTCTAAATTTCATTGGCGCTACTGTCCTCCTAGTTACTTCGGTAGGACATAACATATTGGGCCATAGGGAATTTTGAGTGTCTTAGCCGTCATACTAACTTGAAATTTTACTTTGGGATGACCCTACCCAACCCACTGTTATGTCACGTGGAAAATGACGCGCAGTTGAGCGTCAATATGCATTCCTTGTTGCAACGGATGCATAAACGCTGGCTTGATACTTATCAACTTTTTGTTCTTGAATATGGCCTGGGAATGAATTAGGAATAGTTATGGATTTGTAATTATGCATATTCTGAGTGAATAATCATTGCAAAATCACATAAATGCAAGGCATATTTATTGAAATACACCCCGATCCAAATAATCACAGCTAATTCCACAGATCTAGTTTTCCGACATGCGCAGTCTGCCTAGACATTTAGGCGCCTTGAAATTGATTGGGACTTGTGGGACAATTGAAGAATCCTATCCAGTTATAATTAAATATTTTAATTAATTGAAATGGTTGCTTCCGAATAATTGAAAATTTGAAATCATAATAATTTCCTCTTCTTGAATTCTCCTCCAAATAATTCAAGCGAGCACCGATTGAAAGTTTGCGGTTGATGAAAATAGCAATTGAGGGACTTGATATATCATGAAGAGCCTAAAAAAATTTGAAAATTTCTAGACTCATCGCGAGGACGTTGTTTTCCATATTTTCGGCTTCGAAATTATCCTCGCACCACAATGTTCATCCGATTTTAACGTTTTCTTTAGCGTCGAGTAGATTCCATAGAATAAAACTATTTTTTTTTCATTATCTCAAATAGATTATGGGATGTTAATTTTTTTAGTTTATTATTTTTTTTTTAGTTTTTGCAAACCATGTAAAAATAATTGTTTTAAGTACTTGTAAAATTAATAAACCGGAAAGAATTAATTTTTCCATAATTTCATTCAGATAATCGACAAAGAAACCTAGTTTCATTCTGTGAAATCTAATGAATCCTGAAAAACAAAGTTTTCAGCAGATAAAACTTGCAGTGCGAGGAGCGAGGGGTCTGTAACTGCGATTTTGAGTGACACAATAATACAGTAGCGAAGTGGTCAAACGATTCAAGTCGATTTAAACCGTTTGACCACTTTGCTACTGAATTTCCAAATGGAATCGATTTATAAAATGATTTCCATGATTTCCATTACTGATTTAATTGATTTCCAACATTTTTATTTGTGATTTCCAATGACGTCCAAAAATTTCATGGAATGGAAATCAATGATTTGCATAACTTTGTTTGGCAAAAAAACACTGGCACATTTTTTAAAAATCAAAATTTTTTCTTCTTTTTCGAAAAAATTCAACGCAAATATTATATATTATATAGAATAAATATTATGTAGGAGAAAAATGTGAATTGCGTCTTGGGATACTTCTTTTCAAAAAAATTAAAAAAGATTAGAAAATTCACATGTTTGCAAAATAAATAAATAAATAAAAACTCTTGCAGGGGTTTCCAAATGGACCACATTGCTCAGAAAAAAATATGAGATATTAAATCTTCAAAAAGTATTTATTTGAACGATCGAAGAAAAACAAGAATTTTTTCATTTTTGGAAGACGCAAATTCATATAGAAATGCAAACTGTCAATTGATACGTCCTTGATTCTGGCAATATTAACATCTGTCAATCGAAAGTGACATCTTTTTCAAAGATTCGGATAATGAAAGAAGTCACAAACGATCGTACGGAAACTAAAAGAATGAATGATTGCTTGAATGATGATTGAAGAATGAATGAATGATTGAACTTCTCTCTGATCGGTATGGGTATATTCAACACGTTATCCCGGCTTATAGGTCATGCGTGTCTTCGATTAAAATGGTTGAACCATCAGTGAGATAAAGGATCCTTCAGGGAGTAAATCATGGAATCTAGGCAAACTGACAGCTTCGAAACTGATCTCTATCAAACTTTCTTTTGAGCCATTTCTCACTCCTAGACCGTCTTGACACAGATGGACTGCTTTGTTGAACCGTTGCCATTGGCATCGAAATTGATTCAACGACTCCATCACTTCTGTTTACAGTTGAAATTCTTTCAGTACAAAATATATAAAATACAGTTAAATAAAAAATAATAAAAAATGGATATTGAGTATGTGTACACCAAACACCGTTCGCAGTTTGGTAAATGGTGTAATTTTTCTGAGCATGATAAGATTGAGGTGGATGTTAAGAGTGAACCGAGTTTCATGAAAGATTACATAAGGCTTGATCCTGTGACGCAGGAGACACAGTTCAGTAGGAAGTTTGCTGCACACGAGGTACTTCAATCAGGTCAAAGATGGAATTTTTATTCATCTAATTTCTATTTTCTATATTAATTAGTTGATTATTCTCAAAACGAGTGATTGCGAAGGAAATTGTCACAAAACTTTTCATGTAATATTATTATGATGATTTTTTGTTGCATCGTCTATTATTAATATGATTCAACAATTATCTATTGAGATGAATGACGTTTTTAGTTTATCACGTATGGAAAAACTCAATGGAAAAGCAGTAGAGTTTTTTTTTAGCGAATACTAGGTTTTCTCCTAAATTTTCTGATATACGATTCGCTGCATTATTGATTCATTAATTAGGTAAATACGACAACTGCTACATTTAAAGAATCCGGACAGTATCATGTTGAAGGCGGATGGCCCAAGGATATCAACATGCATGATTTAGAGCAAACAGTTCGTTATCGGCGAAAGGTTGAGAAGGACGAACTGTACATCCACACAATGTTGCAATTACTCCCAGTAATTAGCCTCAATCTCCACAGAACACAAATATGTAGCCGTCCCCACGAAAACGTCTCACTTAAATTTCGATTTTGAGTCCACATAAAAAATAGAGATGCAAATGGGTCACATGATCCGTTATTGACTGTCACATGACGAGACATTTATGATGGCTATGATGGCAGAATTTGCCCCCCCCGCTATGACCGTCAGAATTTTACAAGAATAAATGAATCATTTTTCATCTATATAGATAGAACTTTATATTTTCTTTATCAATTTTTACTTCCATTCATTTCGTATTATGCTATTACGCATTTTGAAATGAAAATTACGGTTATTTTTCATGTATGCAGGTAACATGATTTGCTTTATTCGTGACACTCATATACTGAGCGCCAGCATTTCAACTGGGCCTCCACATTTCCCCGAAGATTAAATTCAAGGGAGGATTCCCATCAATAATCGCGTAGCTCGATAATATTTTGACCCAAACAACGACAATTTCTAGGTTTCCGATAGTTAACTTTATCAAAACTCCTAACGCATAACACGTAAATACTATCCGGAGTAACAATAATTTTTCCTCAATATGAACGCATCGTGGAAGCGACCGGACGGTCACTAACACGATAATTTTTTCTGTCCAAAATTTATTAAAATTAAAAGGCTCTGGGTCGTTGTCTGACTCATGCTTAATCCGAAGTTCTCGATGATTTATGGATCGCCTAAGGAATTCCCAGAATTTCTTACATAAATTAGAAATTTGTGATCGTCATTATGCATCTATATGCACGGTTTGATAGCAATTTGCTTGCAAATTATTTGTGACCATCATTTGTATTTATGTTAGAAAATTCAGACCGTGATTTTTTGGTAATATGACGCGATCTTAAAAATGACGACCAATTTCAAAAATATCAATGTAAAAATTGACATCGAACTGGTATAACCATGGTAATTAACACGGTCGAATGTGAAAAATGAAAATGAACTTCGTATAAGAATTCAACTCCGCACCGAGGGTAAACCGAACTCACAAAAAGGGTTGATTTGAACACGGGAATATTTAATCCTCCACACTCGAAGCGTTAATACTACAATTTCCTAAATATTCACTTTTTTTCTGTTGAGAATACTTATTTGAGAGAATATTAAGGATATCCAAGTATCTTTTACAGTTTAGCACAGACCACACTATAGATTCAACCATTTCCAATCATCATTTTTGTCAATTTAATTGCGTGAGAAAAATTTGAAAAAAAATTATGAATATTCAGCTTCATTCAAATTATACACACAGAATTATTTTCTTTATCTTTGCACTGAATTATTATTTTTTTTAAACATTCGTTGTTTATAAATAAATAGTTGAAATTGTTTAAAATATCGGAAACCTTATTTTTTTAGGAATGAAATCGATTTCTGGTAAAATTTGGAATATGAATAAATTTGTTACAATTGCGAACAAATGATTTTTACGGTGGAATATTGATTGTTTATAGATTACTTACAGAAAATGCTTGTAATTTCCAAAAATTACAATTTTTACATTATTTCATCCATCTGCCCCCGAAAGTATATTTTTCTGTACTGCTTCTCACGATTTCTCGTCTGGGAATTGGTATTACATACTTCCCAAACTCGAAAACGGTTCTATATCGAGATTCAAATTCAAACCTGTTAAGTTTAGATAATATAATCATTGTAAAATGTCCGGAAACTTAGGGTCAACTGGGGCTCAAAGGAAAGCTCTGATGTTCGACTATAGAAGTAGAAAAGTATTTCACTAGAGAAAGAATAGCCAAAATACTTGGATATCCCTAAATGTGGTATATTGTCAAAAGTATCAGGGTATACATAATTTCATACCGATAAGGAGTAAAATGAAGAAACGGGTCTTTTTCATGTGGATGGCCATACATATCGTGGGTCTTCAACAATTTTTTTAATGGCATTAAAATGGTAACTTCAAGCCCATGGAACACACCATTCTTCAGAACAACGCTTGTAACATCTATGAGCAGTACTTTCAAGACGAGGAAGTGGCACCGCTGATTCAAAGAACGTTTTCCAGAACTGTCAATGTTTACCGAGACATTGTGCCGTTGAAGAGGCCGATTACACACCTTTCTTGGTCGCCGGATCAGGGAAATCGATTGGCAGTTAGTTATTGTGATACTGAGTTTAAAAAATCGAAGATTTTTAGCTGTAATTCATACATTTGGGATATTGGTGAGGATCCTTATTCTATTGGATGATGAGATCATTTGGATAATTGTGATGAAGCAGAAAAAAGTTATATGAGTTTATTTTATTTTTTATACTTTCTTGCTTCCGCTCTGAATTTTCCAAATTTTTTTTCTGCATTTTTTTCCCTCTTGGAAAAACTCAAGTAAAAAAATTGAACATCGGCTATCACTATCGAATATTTTTTATGGAACATTTCATTGACACTCTGTTGGTCGGAAAAAATTATCGGAATTTATGAATACGAAATCGTTAAGTACCTTTCTGTAATCGTAATGTACGGCGATTTTAAGCATAATTTACGCTTTAACTTCAACCGTAAAATACGTTTAAGAACGCGTAAAAGACGATTTCGTAATAAGAAATATACATTTAGGTTTTTCCATATGATTCCAAGAATCATTTTTCTCGCAATTTGCCAATAAATTAGTATTGATTACTACTTTATCATGACCCTATTATTAACAACTATCGCTACAATTTCAGATAATCCAAACACTCCATTCTTGACTCTAAAACCTTCATTCCCAGTCGTTACAATGGATTATAGTCCCAAGGACAGTAACATCCTTGTGAGTGGTCTGATGTCAGGGCAAGTAGCAAGTTGGGACATCAGAAGAGGCACTGAACCCGTGGAGATGAGTCTTGTAGAGAACAGCCACAGGGACCCATGTGATAAAGCTCTCTGGATAAATTCCAAAACTGGAACGGAATTTTTCAGTGCATCCAGAGACGGTCAGATCAAGTGGTGGGACACTAGGAAGCTTCAAGCACCAATAGAATCACTAGTAATTGATTTAGTGAAACCTGAGGAGCAAAACATAGATCGTGCAACAGGAATTTCAGCTCTGCAGTTTGAATCATCTATTGGAACTCGCTTCATGTGTGGTTTAGAAAATGGTGAAATTTCCATTTCATCAACTTTCCAACTAATTTTCTTCCTCTTTATTATCAAGTTCACTTGATAAAGTCTCCCATGAAATTAATTCTATTCATTCAATTATCGAATTCATTGATTTTAAGACACCCAGTAATTGTTCATACGATTTTCTGTTATTTTTCTCTTTTGGACCCTGAAGGAATGGTGATCTCGGGTAACAGAAAGGGAAAAACACCAGGAGAAAAAATAGCAACGAGATTTAGAGCACAGTATGGCCCGGTAATTAGTGTAGAGAGAAATCCCACGTTTGTTAAGAATTTTCTGACTGTTGGAGACTGGACAGCTCGAGTGTGGTCTGAGGATTGTCGGGAAGCCTGTATCGCCTGGACACCGTAATTATTTACCAAAAACTCAATATTCTTTTTGATCAAAGAACAGAACAGGAGACTAGGTCGAATGAAAAATATTTACAGATTACATTGCAAGTAGTTTCATCACACTGACGGACCAGGGATGCGAAATGACATCACGTTTTTTCATGTCATAATTTGGATCACACTGTCGACTCACATATGCAAATCAACTAGTTAGATGTAATGTGACCGTCATGAAATTTTCTGTTACAAATTTTCAAATTGCACCGAATTTCAGTGCAAGGGTTTATGTTGGGAAAAGATTCAGGAAGTTTCTTGAAATCTAGTGATTTTGTTTTTATCAGTTTTTCTAGTTCCACGCGCCATTGCGCCATTTTTCTTTTTCACTAGTTTTTTCTAAGATGGCCGCACGACATGTGCCAAAGATTTGTAAGCCGTTTAATAATACAGAATAAAAAGTTAATTAATGTTTAAATTGAGTCTAAAGTGTTTTAAAACTACCCCAGTTGTGACCTTCTACAACATTTTGGCGAGCGTGACAGGACATTTCAGATAAAATGGTCACAGAACTGCAAAAGTTTAAGAAGCTGCGCAAGGCCGTTCGCCAGTCGTTCACACGCATCTACACCTCCATACTCGAAGAGGTACAAGCAGAACAACCTAACCTCGACAATGTGAGAACGTCTTTCGCCCTCTTTCGAGATAAGTCCAGTGAGCTCGAAGAGTGGAACGCGAGTGATTCAAGAGATGCAAGAAGACGAAGGAACTACAGACGACGCCTTGAACTCGGAGTTCGAGAAACAAGACGAGTACAAAAAACAGTATCACGAAGTGAAATTCAAAGTGCAAGCACTCGAACCTCCACCAGTTATCCCACCCATCCAAGTGGTTCAGGGAGACAATCCTCAAGTTATACAGGCTATTCACCACAACAGACGCTATAATTTGCCGAAAATTCAGCCTCCCAAGTTTGATGGTGAACTCAAGAATTACCTCCAGTGGTGGAGTTTATTTAAACCAATTCATGAAGACCAAACGATTCTCAAAGAAGAGAAATTCACGTACCTGGTCCAAGGTATGGTGGAGGGATCCAAAGCAGCAGAATTAGTTAAAAGTTTCCCACCCACACCAGAGAATTATGATGATGCTGTTGCCAGTTTACGTAATCGTTTTGGGAAAAAGGAATTGTTAGTTGAAACGTACGTAAGAGAACTTCTGAAGCTCGTTCTCAGCAATGCAGTGAACAATAAAGAAATTAAAGAGTTGTCAAGTATCTACGATCAACTCAAAACGCAGTTGAGAGCCCTCGAGTCCATGGGAGTAACGACAGACATGTGTGCTGCAATGTTATATCCACTAGTCGAGTCTTCACTTCCGGAAGAACTTCTGCGTGCTTGGCAACGTCATTCATCCACACTGCAGATTCCAGATGTGAAAGAGAGATTGAACAAGTTTATGGACTTCCTGGAAGCTGAGGTAGAAGCAGATCAGAGAATCGACATGGCTAGGAAGGGTTTCAGCATCTCTCCGTCAACTCAGAGTGAGAATAATGAGTCAAAGTCCAAGAAGAAATCGAAAAGTGAGTCTAAATCCATACCAACAGCTGCTGGTCTCCTTGCCACCAAAAGCGCTGCATCAGCTGTTTGCATTTTCTGTGATGGAAGTCATGATAGTGCAGCTTGCGAGAAAGCTAGGAAAATGACATTGACTGAGAGGACTGAACTGGCCAAGAAGAAGAATGCCTGCTTCAAGTGTCTCAAGACTAATCACAGCTACAGGACATGCAGACTCAAGGATACATGTGGTTGATGTGGAAAAAGACACGTGCTCCTGATGTGTCGAGAAAGAACCGAGAGCAGTGGTGCAGAAGAAACATCTAAAGTCGAGACGAAAGAGCTTAACCTCGCAAACTTCTCTTCAGATCCCGAAGTTTTACTCCAGACCCTAAAAGTCAAGATCGTCAATGGAAAGGCAGAACGTGAGGTGAGAGCAATTATAGACACGGGTTCTCATCGTTCTTATGTTCTAGCCACAATAGCAGAGTCTATGAAATACGAGGTCCTGGAGCAGAAAACGATGATTCATTCGCTCTTTGGTGGTTCTCGCACTCAGCCCCAACAACACAACACCTACACAGTTCGTTTGAAGAGTATGGATGATACTTTCGCTTGTAATTTTGTAGCCTATGATCAAGAAATAATCTGTCACAACATACCCAAAGTGAGCAATGGCCCATGGGTTGAAGAGCTACGTCGTAAGTCTGTGAAACTGAGCGACGTTGGAGAAGGTTCCCTACCCATTGCGCTGCTTATCGGTGCAGATGTCGCAGGAAAATTATATACAGGTGATGTGTTGAATCTCCAGTCTAGTCTTACGGCAGTTGGTACTCGTCTAGGTTGGACACTCATGGGGAAGAGGCAGCAGAATGCAGGGCAGAGTGATTCGGTGTTGTCAACTATCTCCATGTTTACTCAAGAAGCCAGTGTGTCAGATCTTTGGAGTTTAGATGTCCTGGGTATCACCGACCCAGTTGAAAAGAAAACCAAGGAGATGCATCAGAGAGAAGTTCTCGACAAGTTCATTGATACCACAATTGTCAACGAAGAAGGACGCTACGAGACGCTGCTTCCCTGGAAGGAGACACATCCACCCTTGACAGACAATCGGGGCATGGCAGAGAAGAGATTAGCAGATGTGCTGAACAAGTTGCAGTCCAGCAACCTTCTCTCAGATTATCAGGAAGTTTTCAACAACTGGCTCGAAGAAGGCATAATTGAAAGGGTTCCTGACCATGAGGTATCGAAAGACAGTTATTATCTTCCTCACACACCCGTGATTAAAGAAGGCAGCACCACTATAATTCGGCCTGTATTTGATGCATCAGCGAAAACTAAGCTGGGAACTTCGCTGAATGATTGTCTTGAACTAGGGCCAAATCTCATTGAACTTATTCCTAATTTACTGATGAGATTTCGAGAAAGAAGGATTGGGATCATTGCAGACATCCGTAAGGCGTTTCTCCAGATCAGTATAGGTCCTGAGGATCGAGATAACTTGAGATTCCTGTGGAAGGCATCCTCAGATGAACTTGAATACCAGGTGTATCGACATCGAAGAGTTGTATTCGGCGTGTCCAGTAGTCCATTCATACTGGGAGCCACTTTGGACTTACACCTGGATAGAGCTATTGCTAGCGAAGACAATGAAAGTGACAGAGAGATCCTCGGCCAACTGAAGCAGTCATTCTACGTGGACAATTGTGTGACCAGCGTGGACACCCTAGAACGTGCCAAGAGTTTCCAAGAAGTAGCTACGAAAACCCTCAAAGCAGGAGAATTTGACTTGAGGGATTGGGAACATTCTGGTATGAGTGGGGTGAAAGCAGAGTCCTCCGTTCTAGGTCTGAAATGGAATCGAGTGAATAATACATTGTCGCTGGTCTACACAGTCCTCCAGGAACAGCCACCAGAGTTGATTACCAAGAGAATAAGCCTCTCCATCGCACAGAAGCTGTTTGATCCCTTAGGTATGATATGTCCTGTGTTAATTTATCCTAAACTATTGTTGCAGAAACTTTGGGATGAACAATTAGGTTGGGACACAGAAATTGACATCAAAACGAGAGATTCATTTACCTCTTGGCTAAAGCAGCTCAACTACCTGAGGGAATTGACAATACCACGATGGATTCTTGGTGCAGACATAGCTGAAGCCTCAATCTCTCTACACGCATTTGTGGATGCCAGTAACACTGCATATGCTGCTGTTATATATGCAAGAGTGGAACTACATGATGAGGTTGACGTTCGATTCGTTTCCGCTAAATCCAGAGTAGCACCAAAGGGTTCAACAACTATTCCTCGCCTCGAATTGCTGGGAGCAACGGTGGGAGCACGTCTCATGCATTCAGTTGTTTCTGCTCTCACTGATAAACAACCAGAGTTACATTATTGGACAGATTCCTCAACAGTTCTTGCATGGATTCAGCGTGATAAACCCTGGGGTACGTTCGTGTGGAATAGAATTCAGGAGATTCGACGTTTGTCAGAGGCAAAGGCTTGGAGACATCTTCCTGGTACCCTCAACCCTGCGGACTTGCCCTCGAGAGGATGTACAGCAAAGCAATTAGTTGATTCAGGCTGGCACAAGGGTCCAGACTGGCTGCGTCTTCCTCCTGAGCAGTGGCCCAGTACTACAGTAAATGCAGATGAAGCCGAAGTCAGTAAAGAAATTCGAAAAACTGTCAACAAGAGTACTAAACAACAGAAGACACTTGAGAGTAGTTCTACGTGTCTCGTGGCTACTGAGGGTTCCACTGATCAAAGAGAGGGAGAAACACATTGGTACTTGAGACGCTTCTCCAGATACTCCAAGATAATTCGTCTTTTCGCTTGGATGTTGCGGTTCATTAACAATTGCAGACCGAGAAAATATCCAAGACTCGAGGGCTGTTTGAGTGTTTTGGAGATTACGAGAGCTGAGCTAGTGGCCTTGAGAGTAACACAAGCGGAGTGTTTCGACGGAGAAAGGGACCAGCGGCTGTCAGGTATGATAGTGTACAAGGATGAAATGGGTCTTCTTCGCCTCAAAACACCAGTGACATACAGAGACGACTCTCTGGGGTTTCGTTGTCCAATAATCCTTGATCAGCATCATCCTTTAGTCAAGAAACTGATCCACCTGTATCATCTGACTCTCCACCATGGATCCATCGATGTCGTGATGAATAAATTGAGAGAGCAGTTTTGGATTCTGTCAAGTAGACGAGTCGTACAGTCAGTCATACGAAGGTGTGTAATTTGTCGACGTTTCACTGCCAAGAGGTTCGAATCTAATCCGATACCTTTGCCAGAGAATAGAGTAAGAGATGCTGCTGCTTTTGAGGTGACTGGTGTTGATCTGGCAGGGCCTCTATTTTTGACAGAAGGTGAGAAGAGTTGGGTGGTATTGTTCACTTGTGCAGTTTATCGTGCAATACATCTAGAGTTGGTGAAGTCATTGTCTACTGACGCCTTTCTGGAAGCCCTGAGGCGATTTATAGCACGAAGAGGAAGGCCACTTACCATTTATTGTGATAATGGTACGAATTTTGTAGGGGCCTGTAATGCTCTGCGTGACCTCGACTGGGACAAAGTTGTGGAGCAAGGTGTTTTGAGTCGAATAGAATGGAAGTTCAGCCCACCTCTTGCAGCTTGGTGGGGAGGATGGTGGGAGAGACTCGTTCGTATGGTGAAAGAGTTGTTGAGAAGAACTCTAGGGAAGGCCTGCTTGTCATATGAAGAGCTCTCCACTACACTCTGTGATTGTGAAGCCGTTATCAATGCTCGGCCTCTAACTTATTTGGCTGAGGACACCCAGCAGTTGGTTCCGTTGTCTCCTGATGTATTTTTGAGAGATTTGAGGGAGTGTGGAGTGCCAGATTTGGATAGAGTGGACAGCACGTCGCTGAATAAACGACTCAAGTACAGACAACGCTTGCGACGAGAGTTGAGACAACGTTTTCGAACGGAGTATTTGGGACAACTGACACGAGTAAGAGGCCCAAAGGCGTCTCCATTATCTGTAGCTGAAGGAGATGTAGTCTTTGTTGGAAATGATAACAAGAAGAGGTTGGACTGGCCCCTGGGACGTGTCGATCAGTTGTTTCCGGGGAAAGATGGTGAGACACGAGTCGTAAAAGTTAAGACAGGGGATGGCTACTTGATTCGGCCGATTCAGAGACTTTACCCTCTGGAGATTTCACCTGTGGAAACAGTCCACATGATTACAGACCAAATGCCTCCTCCACCGGAAAGAATTAAGATGAAGACGGATGAGTCCAGTGGTTCGCCTGCCGTCGAGAAGGAGCATGAAGATCCTGATCATCTGATTGAGCATCAAACAAGAGAGAACATTGAGATCAAGACTAGACGCGGTCGCGTCATTCAAAAACCCAAAAGACTATTAGATTGAGAAAGTATATTCTTTCATTATGTTTAATGTTTCATTTATTCTTCAGAGGTTTTGTTTTGAGTTGATTCCTTCTGATATCAACTCAAGATGGGAGAATGTTGGGAAAAGATTCAGGAAGTTTCTTGAAATCTAGTGATTTTGTTTCTATCAGTTTTTCTAGTTCCATGCGCCATTGCGCCATTTTTCTTTTTCACTAGTTTTTTCTAAGATGGCCGCACGACATGTGCCAAAGATTTGTAAGCCGTTTTATAATACAGAATAAAAAGTTAATTAATGTTTAAATTGAGTCTAAAGTGTTTTGAAACTACCCCAGTTGTGATCTTCTACAACAGTTTACTTGCCAACACGCGCATCGCTTGAAGGCGTTCAGACAGAGAATGTTTAATGTGGAGTGAATTTTTCAGGTGAAAATTTCCGTAGAATCTCTAGTTTCCAAATCATGTGAAATTTTCTGATGAATATCATATCAAAAATTGTGATGAAAAATTCGTGTGAAATCATTTATTTTATTCATTGATCTCAACTGTTTGAGCATTCTCAGTGAGAAAAATGACACTTAGTCAGTAAACGCACCACTGATTTTTCTTTCTTAAACTGAAATATGACTGACACGCATGTTGACGCATTGTGATTATCCATGCATGGAGGTAATCATGAGAAATTTTCGAATTTCGAACTGGTTGCCGCCACCTGCGGTGCCACTAATTATATGGGATGTGACGGTCACGGGGGAAATAATCACGTTTGTGTCATGTGACTATAAATGGTCATGATTGGCCGTGTCACTGACGTGTCATGTGACCGGTCAGTGACGTGTCATGTGACCGGTCAGTGACGTGTCATGTCATTTTTTCGCATCCCTGTGACGGACTCTGTGTCCGTCAAACGCCGTTTACGGACATTGTGAAGAAAAAATTGTATTCGCCACTTGCGTGATCGCATTCTTCGGCTTCGCCTCGGTCTGCAACCCTCACACTCGTGAGAAAAGTTTTTTTCGGTCTTGTGACAAAAATAGCTATTTCATCATGGACCAAGAAAACATCTGTTCTGTAATAATCTTTATGTACTCCAAAAAGGAATTTGGATTTCATTGTAATTCACTATTTTTTCACATTAGACGAATTAGAAAAATTTGGTGATGTGCCGAATTAGATGTCCGGAATCTTCGAACTTATCTCCGATTCTTGATAAATTCACTGGAAAATTAGATGGTTTTTCAATTGATTAATTCACTTGTAGTATAGATCAAGCAATTAGCAAATTAGTTGAGCGTTGAATGCTTCATCTAAATAGCTCTACAACCTTCTTTAAGTCTCGAAGATGGGATTTTCTACTTAATTTCCCGCATTTATTTTGTAGTTTCTCCAATTGAATTTGATCTTTAAGTCTAAAAAATTAGGGATAAAAAGAAATTTCGTTGAAGGGGTCATCGAGAATTGCTGACGAGTGGAGTCTGGAGCCCGACTCGCTTTTCTGTATTCTTCCTCACGAAAATGAATGGTACCCTAGACGTTTGGGATCTATTGGTACAGCAGGACGCACCAGCATTGAGTATAAAAGTCTGCGATGAGGCTCTGACATGCATAAAACCTCATGAACACGGCCACTTAGCTGCAGTCGCTGGGAAGAATGGAACTACATATTTATTGGAATTTTCAGAAGCTCTTACTGTCAATGGAAAAAACGACAAGGTTCTTCTTACTGCGGTAATGGATCTAATATTTTGACAACAGAGAGAATCAATCAATCCAACTTTTTAATTGAATTAATAATTCCACGAAATATAGATTTATGGAGAATCGATCAGGGATCGGAACAATTCTCAATTTCAAAATAAGTTAAATTTAGCTTATGTTAACTGGTAATATTACCCAACAATTTTCAATTACCAAATTAATCATCAATCGAATATTCAAATTCCGAAATAATCTATCAATCAGTTAATCGAAAAAATCCTTTTATGAAATTTAGAATTATTTACTCAATAGTTAATAGAAAATTTAAATTATGAATTATTTTATTATTTTCAAATTTCAATTCAGATTGAAAAAACATAGTAATAGAAAGGTGCAAGTTCTAATAATATTGTTGCGTATTCCCGTTCGAATTCTGATCCAATTGTCTACCATCGAACGGATTTGAAGAAACCCCCTTGGTAACGATTGTCTTTTAGGAAACTTGGATATTGCACGATTCTTTTGGATCTCTTGTGCAAGACAGATCATTTACTTTGTTAAATAGTTAATAAACCGGGCCAACTATTTTATTAATCTGTGTTGTCTTCATTTATCACTGGATATAATAATGTTACAAAATATTACAAATGTAATGATTCACGGAAAGGTTCAGTAAAAATTACGGAACTCATAGTTGGCTTACCGATTACCGAATCGACTCAGAAAATTTAAGTGACGTTATCGTAATTTTGCACAGGAGATTCAGGTAAAAATTACGGAACGCTCTGGAAAAATTCTGTGATTTTAGGTAAAAATTACGTGACAGTTCCATAAAATTTCCTACAACCACATTGCGCTCCGGAATTACGGAAAAGATACGTAATTTTTATTGAATATTTTTCTCTGTGGTGTCGACCGATCGCTGGACTCGATTTACTACATTGATTGTAATTAATTAATCGACATCTTTTTCAGCTTTTAGATAGAGAAACTCGCCGCGAAAAAGTGATAGAAGCGAAGAATCGCGAGATTCGATTGAAAATGCGAGCAACTCGTGTTGACGCTGATGGAGAGGGGCCCGACGGAAGATCAAGGCGAGAATCTGCGAGAGTTCCAAAACCAACAGATCCATTGATCAAACAATGCGAACAAGAATACGAATCTGCAATTGAAGCTGTAATTTTCCGAGTTTCTCTCACTTTTATTTCCTTCTCTATGTATTTTCCTAATAATTAATTAATTAATTTATTTCTACAATTATTGATCTCAGGAAATAACGAGACAAGCAGTAATTGATGAGAATGAAGTGAACAATAATCACCTACAAAACGGCATCGCTCCGCCCAATTTAACAAATGGAGTTTAATTATCTGATTGTAAAGAATACTTCAGAGGAGTTCTAAAAGGGTTCTAATCTTCACAAATCGTTTTATTGATCGTTGGTTATCTCAATTACAAATCATGCAGAAATCTTCAAGGAATTTTTCACGGAGGACAACATTTAGAAAAAGTGATAGAAATTACGTAAAAAATTACATTCCAATCCACATAAATTTCAATACTAAGAACAAAGATTCAACTTTCACTTCGCAATTTTTTCATATTTTTATGTACAAATCGCTGATTTTCGAAGTCAAAATTGTCAGTAGTGCATTTTGCATCAGAATAGCATTTTTTACGTAACTTTGGTTAAACTTTTCATTTGGGGGTTTTGTAGGAAATTACCTCTTCTGCAAAACAGTTAATTTCTTAGATAATTAGGTAATTCACGAAAACCTTCCATTCAAGTCATTCGGTTCCCGGTTATTGCAGAATTTCTAAAGGAAATTTCAGATCTGCTGTTTCACTGGAATGTAAAGTTGAGGTGAGACGGGTGAGTTTGGAATATCACGGGTTATTGAAGTGAGGATATCAATGTTTCTTCTTTATTCCATGTATCAAAAATTGATCATTAGTGGAAAGAAACCAATTGTCAACATTGAAGAAGGGAAGTTATATGGCCTTCCACATCTTTGTGACGTCATAGAAAATGATTGGATGGGATTTGGATGAGGTAGGAGGGGAATCGGGATTATTCTCAATGTGAATAACCAGAAAATTTTTACAGAAAAAAATCGATAGTACGAAATGATCTGTCTGTCAGTCGTGTAGACGCCTAAAATGAGATGACTAATAAAATTATCTCGTCTATTCGATTTTTGAAATAAGCATCTTTTTTTACGCTAAAATTTGTCAAAAATGTGCAGAAGAACAATCACGAAATACTTTTTTGATATTGGACTTCTAAGTAGCGTATTTTTTGTTTTTTATGTGAAAAAATTTACTTAACATGTGCAATAATTCGATTACAATGTCTCGGGATATTTATACTGATTAGAATTCAAATATCAAAAGAGTGATTTGTAATAGTTTTTGGGTACGTGGAATAAGGCGATCCTCTGCGTTTTGAACATATGTTCAAAACGCACTGCAGTCTCTCCTCGACTGACGATATCATGGAAATACCCATCGTTGTTGATATCCAGTCCCTCTGCTATAGTAGATGTACTGAGAGAAAAGCGAACAGGTTCTCAAAAACATCTTGTTTGGACCAAAAAAATTGCAAATTGAAAAATCGCAAATTAATTACTGTAAACAAAATTGTTTGATTTGAATATAAAAGTCTCAAACATGAATATCTGTTGGCTCAAGAGGCGAATCAGTCACAGGAGATGGTGCTTTTGTCAGGAAGATAATATTTCTCATAAACGGAAGTTTATCCAGAACTATTTTGTCCCTACGTTACAAGATATCATCAAGTTATCATAGTGCTATGAATGTCTATTTTCCCCTTTAGAATGCATTCCATCGAGCAGGGATAGCCATATCCATAAATTATAATTACTGTTAAATTATTAAGTAGTCAATTAGTTAATATCACTCTTAAATTGTAATAATTGAAGTAATCATCAATTTAAATAGTCAAATTTGTCAATTAAATTGCGTGAGAAAAATGGGAAAAAATCATGAATATTCAGCGTCATTCAAATTACATTTACAAATTACATTACATTCCAATTACATAGAATTATTATTATTTTAAACCTTCGTTGTTTGTAAATAAGTAATTGAAATTGTTTAAACTTTCGAAAAACCTTATTTTTTAGGCATAAAATCGATTTCTGGTAAAATTCTGAATATGAATAAATTTGCTACGATTTCGAACAAATGATTTTTATGATGCAAAATGGTTTTTTTATAAATTATTTATAAATAATGCTCGTAATTTTTAAACGTTGTAATTTTTCAATTATTTCATCAATCTTCCTCCAAACGTAAACTTTTTAATTTTTTTCAGTTTTTCAAAATGTTTTCTAACGGTTCCATATCGACATTCAAATTCAGACCAGCAAAGTTCAAATAATAAAACCATTGTAAAATGTCGGACAGCTTACACTCAAATGGAGCTCCAATGAAAGCTGTGATGTTCGACTACAAAAGTAGAAAAGCACTTCGCTAGAGGAAAAATAGTCAAAGTACTTGGATATCCTTAAACAAAGATCCAGATTACTTTTGATACGTCGTATTTACTGATTAAGCAATATTCCAGAGTACTGGCCCTTGAATCGTCACTATTGCGGTCAACCCCGTCATTCTTGATCTCATTGAACTCAAAGCATGGATCACTAGCATCGATGGAGTGTGAACGTGTGAGGCGGTATTGTGGACGGTGAAGTGATTGGACCCTATTTCATCGATGGAACTGTACCATTATTGCAAAATTCTCTTTGATAGAGTACCCATATATCCTCCCCTATTTTTATTATTTGAAATTTTCAAGTGCAAGCATATGAGGATAAAACTTTACTGACTACTGGATTTGTGACGAAAATATAGATTTTATAAGTATCGGATAATTCTAGATACCAAATGATCATTTTTAGGAACGGTAAATTCTAGACGTAGGGAAGAGAAAAATGCTCTTTCACCACATTTCGATCGCTGCCCGATTCTTCTTTTTTTCGTAGTGTAACAGAATCCGCTCTAATTCAGATTCCCTGGGTGGCCCCCATCCCTAAACATTGTCATAAAAACAGAGGCATTATTTACTGGAAGACGAAATTTTTCTTTGTAAATATATTATATTTCTTTACTTGAACAGCCTTCGAAACGTCGTATGCATGCTTCTCCAGTTTGTCAGCGGCTTCCTGTGCCCCTATAGGAGAAGTTTTCCCTTCCCAGGGTACCATCCAAAGGGGATAGACCTGAGTAGAGGCCCGGATCAGGGGGTTTGACTGACTCCAAAAATGTTAGTTGGTACCCCACGGGAAAGGCGGCGTCCCGGTCGAATTGTCGGTAAATGTGAGTCGGGTGCGTGAGTAACTCGGCAGTAGCCAGTGTTGCCAGATATACCATGATCATGGTATTTGTACCATGATTTGAGTCATTTTACCATGTACCATGAGAGGGTGTCATGGTATGCAAAATATACCATGATTTCGAAGAAAGATATTTTTTTTTCATTTTTTCGTCTGATTGTCCCGAAAACTTCTCAGCTTTGAGTGTTTATCTAGTAGCGCACGACTCACTCATCTCGTTCATTCCTCAAGACGTTTTTGAATGCCGATAATTCCCGCCTTGATCGAAACAAGCACAGACTATGTCCAATACAACGGATACTGAACCCTGATTTAAAGGAGATCGATAAAGTAGGCCAGCATATGCGACCATCATTTGTTATGGTAGATCTCTGTGATTATAAATTCTTACCAATGACATACGTTGAACGAAACAGCAAGCCAATTGGAATGCACGTCTTATACGAACGACATTCACTACTTTTCCCGAGCAAGTTGTTGAATCCACTCGGTCATTGTCAACT